GACGGAGGAGGCGCATGACGAGATATGTGGATGATGTTGAAGATGATGGTGATATGATGGTGGATGATGGGGAAGATGGTGGGGAAGATAAGGTGATGATGAATGAATGATGATTATGATGATGATGATGATGATGATGATGATGATGATGATGATGATGATGATGATGATGATGATGATGATGATGATGATGAAGGGGGGGGTGCGGTGCCGAAATAAAGTGGTCGGAGCTCTAGACACCCTGTGCAAGAGAATAATGTTCAATTCCGCTGGAGCAGGCCGTCAGGTGGCGCTGGACCGCTGCGCGGCTGTTCGTTTCTGCAATTTGACCTTGGGGCCCACGGAGCTGAAGAAGAGAGCTGATGCTAGTCTTCTCCCCTAGCGCCGCAAATTGTCCCCAATTCTCCATGGGGACGCCACAGGGCGGACAAGAGAGACTAATTAGCAGACCCCTGCAGGGCCCGAAGAGGCCTCCAACAGGCCAAGGACTGCTTAAGAGAGCCCTAAGAGGACCCCAAGACAGCCCAGGTAGACTTCAACAACTACCAAAGAAGCACCCGAGAGGTCGCCTGATGCATAGGATCTCATGCTACGTGTCAATGCTTTTGTTTGCAATGCCTTTCGCCTCTCGCCCTGTTCGATCCCAAAAAATCCCCAGATCGCACGATAACGGCCAGCAGAGGCGACAAGACGGTGTCGATGTTGCAAACTAGTGCCCGAAGCTGAGCCCTCCGATGCACCAATCTACCAGCAAGGTGGCCCATGGAGGCCCCATGAAGGCCCCAGAATGTTAACAAGACGCCCCAAGGCTGCCCTCAGAACCACCTCTGTGCCCCTTCGACCGTCCAGTATGGCCTAAGGTATGTCCACCGAATATGCCCCCCGCATGCCGCATGCACCAGGGCGACCCCACGGAGGCCACAAGATACAATGTGGAAGGGTTACCTAGATCTGTCAAACAAGACCAAATGGCCCCAGCATGTCCCAAGATAGCCCCAATGAAACTCGCAGGCCTGGAGCGCCTCTGGTAGATTGCAGTCCGCCGGATAGCAAAGCGCGCAAGCTCAACCCCGCTGGCACAATTACGCTATTACAGGTGGGGTACAACTCCTTCACAATTCATTATGCTTCCGCGAGCAGGGAGAGTCGCTCGGCGGTAGGGACCCGTCTGGAATTACGAACAGAGATATCGACGAGGTGCTCTACTCTGTTGACAAGCAAATCATGGCTGTCCTGCTGTAGACACCACTCCCAACAACCCAACACAATACGTGAAAGCAACGACGATGCACTGCGCTGTTGAACAGCTAATACTTGGTTTACGGCGTCATGGAGATGATAATACGCAGTGTACGCATGTCCCTTCATGTGCGGAAGCATGTGAAGCATGATAATCGAATTGGTCGGCGGGCGGGCGGGTCAATCGATTTGCCAATGTACCTTCCGAAATACGCCACCGTGCCGCAGGCCTGGAGTGGAAGGGCCTAGCCCCCAACCCACTGAATTCCTGGGCGCTGCTGTGCTCACGGGTCTTCCCTAGAACCGCGGGCAACGCGGTTGGAAATCCGAACTTCCAACGTGCCACAAGACGGTCCAGGGGGCCCGTCGTGGAGCCTTGGGCATTTGAACCGACTGTTTTCACATGGCTCCTGAAATCAAAATCGCACCGAGTTGGTTGCCGCTTGCCATTGTGGAAACTTGCGCACATAGTCCTGTACTGGCGAAGACAACATGCATGAACGGTGTGCAATGTCCCGCCGGAAAACCAGGATGTAGAAAAAAACAACGCGACACACAACAAAACGATTCGGTAGGGGGTGGTATTGCAGATGTCACGGCTCCCCCTGCGCCACAAAGGTTGCGCCGTAGGCCTTCTGCTGGTTGCGTTGTAAATTTTAGGTTGCGCCTTCGGCTGCGGCAGACACCCTGCACCACGGCCTGCGCGAGATGGTGCGCCAGACGTGCGCCACGAATCACGAATTCGTTTCCTGCGCCGCCCCGCGCAGAAGGGTGCGTCAGACACGCGGTACCACCAAACCACAGTTTGTTCCGATCTGGCCCCCCTTCCCCTTCCTCTGCGTACCTTACTGCGTCCGAAGCCTGGCCGTCTCGTGCTCGCCCACAAGACACGACACTTCTCTGAGGGTGCCAAGGCCGCGAGAACAACTGCATCGGCAGTCCCACACCCAACTGTCTGTCGAAAAACAATGTACCAGAAGAGCCTTCCACGTCTCGAAATCAGCTGGAATGAGGCCCTTGCCCATAACGTCCTCGAGTACCTCGCCAAGAAGGCCCTTGTCATAATTGAACACGGAATCGCACAGGATGTGCTTCAACACCTGCGGGTCAGAGACGACCATGAAGCTCTTCGGGCCGAAGCACATTTTGTATACGTCGCCAAACTTCTCCTGGAAGGGTCTCTTCGAATCAACGCCAGCCCTGGATCAGGCTCGACAGCGCGTCCGACAGTGGGTCCGACACCCTCGTCCCAGGGGGGAAAGGGCGAACTGCTCCCGCCGATGCGAGCGGCGATAGGTGTACGGAACTTCCGCCCGGTGCCTGCCCACCGCCTCGTCGCCGCCTCCAGCGCTGGCTGGGTGTGCCGAAAATTCCCCTTATGCCCGCCAGGCTCCGCCTCGTCGCTCCATCTTGCGCTGGCCAAAACTTCGGGATGCAAATCGTTGTCAATCACATCGGCTGTGGCCAATACAATTTCTCTGAAGAAATGCCACATTCTACCCCCATGCCGATGCCGGACTGAAGCGCCCACCTTTCCTGTTTCTCAGATTTATTCTGCACGGTCGGTCGATCATATCAAACACTGCGTGATGACATGCGCAGAATGTCCGTATCGGGCCCCACAAGCCATCCCTGTCAAACAATACAATGCGTGGCGCACGAATTGATGTGACACACGCGTTTTGTATAAACCGGCATCAAATCATAGCATACGCGCCGCCCGGCCCGCACGTGTAGAAATTCGTACACAATTATGTTCAATAGAAGCTGTCAAATTTCAATGCGCACGCTCTCGCTGAAACCAGAAATAAATTAAGGTTGTTTTTGTTTGCATCCTTGTCCACTGAAATCATGCGGGCCAGAAGCGCGAATAAATCGAACATATGCAACACTCATCGCGCACCTGCCAACTGGTGTCAAACCGTGCCATGTGGTTCACACGCGCGTGTCTTCGCGCGCATGCCGAAATCGTTGCAACAAGATGGCTTTTCGAGCACTTCAACATGGATGTCATCAAACACGTGTCACAACATCAGTAAGTGGTTCTCAAAAACAAATTCTTCCAGGGTCCCTGTGCACTCACGTCCTCATCATCCTCATCACCACCATCGTCGTCACCACCGCCAACGTATCATTGCCACCGTCATCATCACCATCACCACCATAGTAATCACTATCCTCGTCATCATCACGACCCTCATCAATGTCATTGTCGTTGTCGACGCTCCCGTTACCAACGTCACCACCATCATCATCAGCAACATCATCATCATCAGCATCATCATCATGATCATTATCATCAGCATCATCATCATCATCATCATCATCATCATCATCATCATCATCATCGTCGTCGCCAATGCCGTTGCTACTATTTTTCCCAAGCGTGTCCGAATCATGGATCTGCAGGAGAAGGGTCCTCGCGTCATCGAGCCAGTTGAACTGTACCAACATATTGAGACTGGGTAGGTGGGATGCTTGCTCGAAGGTTGGAACTGACGACCCCAATCAATTTTCAAATGAATCCTCTAGACAAAAGATCATCTTCCACCCATCCCCGAAGCTAGGGTTCGCGGTGCCCTTGTTTCATGTCTCTTGACGATCGTTCAGACCAGACGACATATAAAAATAATGGAGAAAACGTGATCCACCGCCGCTTTACTGTGGAAAATTCCCCCCGCTCTTCCTCGGAAACCCGGGGGTCCCCCCCCACACTCCGAAAATCCCCCCCCCCCTGCTGGACCTCCCCCCCCTCCCCCCCCCCTTCCACCGGCAAAAACCCCCCCTCCCCTACCCCCCCCCTCCGGAAAACCCGGGGGGTCACTACCGTTCGAACCCCCCCCCTCTCCCCCTCGAAAACCGTGCAGGTCACTACCAGTTCGAACCCCCCACTCCCCCTCCCCCCCCCCCCGAAAACCGGGGGGGGTCACTACCAGTTCGAACCCCCCCCCCCCTCACCGCCAGCAAACGACTCGCGGTCCCTACCACCGTCCGCACCACATCCCCCACTGCTATTCCCAGCACCACTGTCCTCACCACCACTGTCCCCACTGGTTCCACCACCATCCCTACTGTCCCCACCAGTGCCCCCACCACTGTCGCACTGTCCCCACTGTCCCCACCCACCCCTGTTTCCACCACGGTTCCACTCTCCCCACTTTCTCCACGGCCCCAACCACTGCCCGACTGTCCCCACTGTCCCCACTGTCTCCTCCGCTGTCCCACTGAGCTGTCCCACTGTTCCCACCACTGTCCCCACTGTCCCCACTGTCCCCACTGTACCTTTGTCCCATTGTCCCACCGCCGTCCTCGCCACCGCCCTCACCACTGTCCCCACCACCACTGTACCCTCCACTGTCCCACTGTTTCCACCACATTCCCACTGTCCCCACACCACTGTCCCCACCCACCACTGTCCCACTATCCCCACTGTTCCCACCATTGTCCCCGCTGTCCCCACCAGTGCCCCCACCAGCGTGTCAATGTCCCCACTCTCCCCAAAATTGTCCCACCACGGTCCCACTCTCCCCACTTTCCCCACGGCCCCACCACTGTCCCACTGTCCCCACTGTACCCATTACTGTCCCACTGTCCCCACCGCTGTCCCACTGTGCTGTCCCAGAGTTCCCACTGTCCCCATCACTGTCCCACTGTCCCCACTGTCCCCACTGTCCCCACCACTTTCCCCACTGTGCTACTGTCCCACCACTGCCCTCACCACCGCCTTCACCACTGTTCCCACCACTACCGTCCCCACCACTGTCCCACTGTCCCCACCACTATCCCACTATCCCCTCACCACTGTCCCCACCACCACCGTCCCCACCACTGTCCGCACCCCCCTCGGTTTTCGAGGGGGGGCAGGGGGGGGAGGGGGGGGGGTTCGAACCGGTAGTGACCCCACCCGGTTTTCGAGAGGGGGGGGGGTTCGAACTGGTAGTGACCCCCCCCGGTTTTCCGCCAGCAGCGGTAGAACACGCTCTTTCAAAAAATGCAATTCCTGGCGACCCCGTATCGACCCACTCACAATGCCCTACACACTTCGGTGTGTATGCGTTGACCTGAGAAGTGCGTTTTATAACACCATGCGGGTCACATGCGCGCGCCTCCGCGCACGCATGCCAGCTGCATTCGAAACAAGTGGTGTCCAACCATGTCAAAACAAATGTGCTCAAACACTAACAGCACATGGCTTACAAATTTCTGCGCGCGCCCTCGCTGAACTCACGTTGAAAGTCATAGTGGTCTTACCATGCTCTGAATATGAAAGCATTCGAGCCGCACGCGCGCGCGTGCTGAAACAAATAACACACGTTCGCCATCTTTGCCAACTAATAGAAAGCGGGCCATCTCTGCGTCTCCGAGCGCGCACGTCGAAGTGTCTCGAAAATCTCTGCGTGCAAACCTGCACAGAAAGCGCGGGTCGGCGTCCCCGCGCCCGCGTTGGGCAGGAGAGGCACACGGCGCCGCCGGGCCGGTCCCGACTAGAACCCTCCAAACGCCCGCCAGGCTGGTCCAGACTGGACATCACCAGACGCCCAGCCTGGCAGGACCGCCGACCCACAACGACAGCAACACAAACGACACAAGGGCGGACGGGGTGGGTAACAGAGCGGGGAGCGCTCGGCAGCACCCGTCCCGCGGGTGCAGGGCCCCGACCTGCGGGAGAACACCCCGCCCTGTGGGTGCCGGGAAACGTGGCCCACGCCTGTGGCGTACGCGCCCCGCGGGGAGCGACGAGAGCACCACCAATCCCGCCCTGCGGGCGCGGGTCACAACTTGCGGGAGAACAGCCCTTCCCGCGGGTGCCGGGGAAAGTGGCCAGCGCTGAAGCGTTTGCGCTCCGCGGGGAGCGACGAGAGCACCGACGTCCCCGTCCCCGCGACCTCGACCAGCGGGAGAACAACCCGTCCTGCGGGCACTGGGGAGATGGCCAGCGAGGCCGAGCCCCTCACGCGAAGCGCAGTTGACCCTCGCGCACTCGCGCCCCCAGGACCAACCGAAAGAGCCAGAAGAAGGGGCGAACGTGGCATCCCCACGCCGAAATCCGCCAGCCGCGCGCGGCCTCCAGCTGCGAGCACAACCCGACGCAACAATCCGCCGCGCCGCTGAGGCACTGCCCGGCAATGAAGGGACACACGAGGCCATAGAGGCCGAGAGGCGAAGAGACCACTAGGGGTCCTCCCTGGAGATTTTCCTGCCCCCGAAATCACTGGGAGTTTTTGGGGCGATCAAAACCACTTGTTTCCCAAATCAACGCTTGCATTGACAAAATCTTCGCGGATGCGGAAATAATCAACACATATGTCGGGCCGATTTCGGAGGCTGGCCTAATGCCCAGGTTCGCTGTTCCGGGTCGCAGCTTCCCGTGTATGGGCCGATTCCAGTGGGCGGCAGGGTTTCTGCTGGGCTCCCAATTCCAGGTCCAGAGTTCCCGGCACTATATGTTTCTGGGGTGTCACGTGACCTCCCCTGTGAGGCGGCGTTGTGTCCGACGCGGACAGATGAGCAAAATAAGCTGTCGCCGCAAAGATCCGGCAAAAAAGAGATTCGGTAAGCGGTGCGATATACAATGGGCGCGCCGTGGATAAGCGCGCTTTTCTGTGGTGGCGACGGCGGCGATAGTTGGCTAGACCTATGGACCGTACATGACCACACAGGTTTGCCAACGACTGGCGAGGCCACGATAGATAGACACCCTATTTGGCTCCGAAGCTCCACGCGCCTGACCACCTGTGCGACCGCGACCGCGGGGTCGCGACAGATATACTGTTTGTTTCCTCACCCTCCCACGCGGTGCGGCGGCGATAGGGGAGTGGTCTGACCGAGGGACTCAGCGTGCGGTGGACCTACCACATGTGCGGCAGTCAGCGGCGGCCTGAAGACAGATCAACATGATCAACGGCCCCAAGGGTCCTGATCATGTTAATCTGAACCCGAATCGGTCACCGATGAAGGGTTCACTTTAGTATCCAGGGCAGCATGCCGTCTTTCCTGTTCCAAGCAATACGCAACGCTACACACGCGCCGGCGCGCGTGGAGCGTTGTGTACTGATCATGGTAAGAAACAGACGCCCCAACCCATGTCAACTTGGAAATCACATCGGATACCGTTGAAAATTCAAATTCGTTTCCAAAACAACATGGCGACTTTACTATCCGGGAC